CATTTTATTCCTTTTATATTAGTTAGATCATAGAAACTAATTTTGTGTTAATCGGACTTTTATAGCAAAAGTTAGAAAATTTCAATTTTTACATATACATATAAGAGTATAAAATTAGCATCTCCTTAGTATTAATTATGTTTAGGCATGATTAATTGATTAGGTTGATCGTTTCGAAGATTGAATTGTTCAAGTTTTTCTAAAGAATCAGGAAAAAAAAAATTCATCTATACCTTTATCAAAGAACATCTGTAAGATAAGGGGTGGGATGATTTCATTTCAATAGGTGGCATTAAGAACCATAAGGGAATGATTCTCTATTGTTCTAATCAAATAAAATGAATTTGGGTTGTTTTAGAGCTATCCCATAATTTTTAGAAGATTTTATTATAGTACTTGACATATGTAAAAGGTTGCCTTAGACCAGGAAATTGATTGAATAAGGACTCTCCCTTATATATCAGGTCTTTTATGTATTTAAATTAATGTATTGGAATGATTTATGATTGAAGTGCTGTATTGAATTATTTCTTTATAATTGGTTGAATTCTCATTATGTGCTTGTGTATATATTCTTGTTGGTATGAATGCCATATAATGGTAAAGATTGGAAGTAATTTAGTTTCATGTGGTGTGAGCATATAGATTGATATAATCTAAATGTCCATTCAGACTTGTTGGAAAGAAGAAAATATGTTTTTAAGGTATATATATATATATAGTGCAAGTATCTTTTGACTTCTTTGGAAAATGGATTTAATAAAAATAAATAAATAAATTATATTACTGAGAAAGTAGTATTGGATATTTGGAAAGCCTGAATCATTTTAAAAATGATTAAGTCTTCAATTTTTAAGCATAAAAACATATTTAAAGAAAGAGGAGAAGATACGATTTCTATGGATTTTGAGGTGATGGAGGTGGAATTTAATGAATTAGAAGTATTCTGGATTTTTTCTTGTTGTTTTACAAGAAGAAGAAAATTTTGGAATATCTGATTTACAGAGGAGACTCTGTCGAATTTCATTGCGAAAAGAAAAAATTAAGGATTGTACTTAACAGAAAAGAAAAGTTAAATTTTTTCTCTAATTACATTAATTAGGAGTGAAGACATGCATCATGAACATGTGATAGTGTGATGAGTGGACAGGGAAGTATAAGAAATCTAGGGGCGGCTCCAGGGTAGTCTTGGGAATAGTGACGTGTGATTGAATCTGACAGTGGCCAAGGCTCGCCACCTTGTGTTGTGGACTCTCACTGCAAAACTTTACTATCCTGACAGGTCCCGAGAGATTCTTGTATTAGTAGAGCTGTTACTGTATTATGAGATTAACAAAGTTGGTAGTTAAGTAACAGTGAAACTCCTGATCCTTCCCTGAGTAAAAGAAACAGATTGATGGTTCTGGGTCCACATGCAAGTGTCAAAATGTACTAAGTTATAATAATGGACTTGCATCGCTTCTTATTCATGGCATATGCATTTGCTTGGTAGATTATGGGTGTTGATAATTAATTGTGTGATTGAAACCCTTATATGTCTTTTGCTGCTGGAGATTGAATCAAATTGTCTCACCCTTTTATTGCTATGTGTGTTGTGTGTGAATATGTTTATTAGGTGAGAACATTGATGGCTCGACCACCGTACCAATTCAGCGTCTCGATCAGATATGATCCCGAGGGAAGATGGGTGCATGACTGGGAGCAACAACGATTCACCCACACTGGCTCTATTACCTTTTTGTTAGATAGAAATGAGTCAGGTCCACGAGCTTATCCTATCTCTATCCGAGTACCCATGAGACTTACTTTTCCATTTCCTCCAGATGTACAGTTTGTGAGACCCCCCTACCTCACCTCCTGTCCCTGTATTATCACCCCCAGTATTATCCCCAGGTTTTCTTAGACCTTTATGCCCTTCTATACCATATTTACCACCTGTTGAACGGACTAATTTAGCTGACACACTTTTAGCAAGACCTATCTTTACCTCATCCACTTCCTCTAGTTCTTCAGACTCTCCTGATTCTTCTCACTGCTCAAACACCTCTTATGCTATCGGAAGGCAGAGGATTGCTTCTCAAGCAGGACTCCTTCCTAATTTTGCCTCCTTTGAGTAGGAATCTAGTGAAAAAGGAGAGTAGGTTAGAGTCGAGTAAGGGATAATCTATACATATACGTAGGTGTAAGTACTTTTGACTAAAAAGAAAAAAGGGGTATATAGGAAGTCTAACCTTACCGTTGTTGAATTTTGGGAGGAAATGGGCACTTTGGTGATCATGGATCCAGGGGAAAGCTCATGAGGTCTTCATTTTGGATTGTCGTCTCTGATATTGTGACCCCACTTTATTTTGTATGTAATTCAGTTATGTATATATTTAGATAACTGGATGATTGTATAAATTAACAGATGATGTGTATATATGAAATGAAGGCTTCTAATAATGGTAGTGTATTTAATTTCACTATATCTGAATAGATATAGACTCATGCATGTGATGTTCTTACTGCTTGGTTATTTTATGATTGTATTTATATTTATTACTTAGTAAGTAGCAAGGGTGTCACATTCAACATGTTCAAATGTAACTAATATAATAATTTATTATTTAAACACGTATCTAAATATTGTTGGTTAAAAATTTTCATGTGCAGTACCCTTAAAATTTTTCAAGATACTACAAAATTTACCAGAAAAAAAAAAAAGAAAGATTGAAAATATTAATTTTACATAAAAAAAATGATAAATCATCCTCCATTACATCAAAATTAATATGTAAAGAAGAATTTGAAAAGATATAAGAAATATTAAAAGCTTTTAAAATTTTTTATCAATTTAGTTTTTTGCGTTTATTTTACATTTTGTCACTTTTTACCTGTTGCAGATGAAATACTATAAATTATTTATTATTATATATATTTATTTTGATCACAATGTGAAATTATGTCCGTAACAATTTTGCTTATAATATTCACTAATTCTAAAATGTTATACTCATATTTATTCTCATTACAATATTTTATTAACACAATTAAAATGCATCTAATTCAAATTCTAAATATGAAAATTGTGTTGGCATATGAAATATGAAAAGAACAAGTCGAATGTAAATATATTAAAAATGTGGGTAAAATGTGTGACAGAGAGGAGGAGAAACGGAATGCCACAATTGGTGGGTTTGACGCATTGAGATATGAAAATGGCTTTGGGAATTGGATTCTACAATTCTCTGGAACTCAGGATCTTTTGCTCCACAAACGTCAAATAGCTTCTCCATTTTCCAACTTTTTTACTTTTATTTTTACCTTTTGCCATTGGGTTAAAGCCAGATGCAGCATCTTATGAGTTTTCTATATGATATTGTCATGTCATCAAATATGACTTCATATTTAGATTTTTAAATCTACCTTTCTTTTTATGTGACATTATTGTGTAAAAGAAAAGCACGAGATATAATTCTCTCCAGTTAAGGGGATTATTTTCGACAAAAGAGAATAAAAGTATCATTGAAACATTAAATTAGGTCATGTGCGATCGTTATTTTTATCAACTACTCATGTGTGTGTGGTCATACAGAAAGTGAGTATGAGAATTGAAGGAACAAAACAGCAAAACACAAAAGAAAGTGAGTGGTAGATTGTGTTTAGTAGGCCCTAGAGTGTATTACTTAAAATTATAAGAAAAAAAATTAAATGATGTTTTGTAAGTGTTGTTTATTTTATTTGAATATTTATATCTTAAAAATTTAATTAATATAAAAACTAACAATTTTTTTATAAATTAAAATTAACTAACGTTTCTCTATTTTTTATTAAATTTTTTTAAAATTTTAGTTCAATATTACAGTTTAATTAAGATTAGTAGAATAAAAATTTATATTTTATATTCAATTTTTACAAGTTCAGTTTAGATCTAAATTTTGATATGAAAATAATATTTTTTATATTTAAATTTTCCATATTTTTATTTAATCTTTGTAATTTATATTATGTTGAATCAATTATAAATATCTCTAACATCTTGAAAGGATGTACTTTATCTGTAGTATTTAAAATTATGAAAACATAAATGTATATGTATAATAAATTCTAAAGTTGATATTTAAATGCCCTCGTCACTGCAAAAGGAGTTAAATTCCTACCCAAAATGAGTATCTCTGCATCAATCCTTACAATTATGTAATGATGAGTGTATTTGGATAAGTCATTTTTTTAAATAATTCTATTATATATTTTTAATATTTTTTGTAAGATACTCTTTCTAATTGCAGATGGAACGACTAAAACTACTTTTCCGAGTCTTTTTTAATAGCTAAACTTTTCATTAGAAAAAAAGAGAGATAAAAAAATAAATAATGTAATGAAGAAATAAAATAGTGTTATAAAAGTATTTTTAAAAATGGTGTAAAAATAATATTACCAAATAAACATATACAGACAGCCGTATATAAATGCGTGGGCACAAGAGCGGAGAAATGTCCCCTCAATTCCACCATACTATGTAGACAAATAGAAAATGGTCTTTACAAAGTAACATGGAATAATAGAAAAAAAAAAGGATTTTGATTTTAATATGTGCTATAAAATATTAAAAAAATCAATAATTAAAATAATTATTTACGATACTGTATATAATATTTTTAATGTAAATAATAATAAAAATGGATGGAAGTTTTCAAGTATAAAAAAACATTATTTATATGAAATTAATGCCTTTTGAAGATATGAAAAGATCGAGTGTAATTAGTTTCTTATCACTCACCCAACGAACCGCGAGAGTTGAATCTGGAATAAGTGGTGCAGCCACAAACAATTCTCCAACAGCAATATAAATATCAATAACACTTTCATGGTCAAATTATAATTGATCACAAGGAATATTTTCTCATGATTGTGGAAGTAAGAATCAAGAAGGCCAATTCATTTCTCGTAGATTTCACTAAAAAAATCATATTTCATTTACATACTTGGATATTCCATATTTCCATTTACAAACCTGGGTTAGAAAGAGAACGAACCCAGAAATTAAAGGACCTGAACTTAGTTCAATTTATGTAAAATGAACCGCCATAAAATTTGAAGAAACAAAATTGGAGCCCTTATGAAGGAAGAGTAGGAAGGAGGAGGGAGGAAAATGAACTCGTGAATCTCATTAACTGGGTTTGGGAAATTTGAACAAGGGATTAGAATTGGCGCATTGATCAAACAAAGCCTTAGCAGTCATTTCCCTCTCAAACCTCCAAATATAGTTCAACCCAACAAGCAATTCAGTGATGGCAGCCTCAGTCTTGTCCTTGTTAGCAAAGAACAAAGTCTGCAAGAGCAAGACATTGGTCTTAGGCACCAAGTTGTGGTGCTCAAAGCTTCTCTCACTCTGCCACTTGATCATGTTATGTGCCAAAGGTGACAACCAACCCAATATCCTCCCCAACGCATCCCTCCACTCACTAGCCAGCAAGGGATCACTTGCACAAAACCCCACCCCTTTCAACCTTGCCCTCAAACTCCACCTTATGCTACTCGGCAACATACCATACAAATCATCCCTCGCATCCACACCAACCAAATGCGGTGACTTTATCATCTTCTCCATCACTATGATCAAATTGGCATAGTGCAAAGCCAAAGCAGCAGCTCCCAAAGTACTAGGAGGTGTCCTCAAGAGCTTCGAGTTTGACTCAAAAAACCCACTTCCCAAATCACCCTCCTCTTCATCAAGCTTCCAACTTTCCATCGACCCACATTTAGGGTTTTGATCAGAGGGGTAAACAGTGGCTGAACCTGACAACGTACGAGACAAACTAGGCACACAGTGCCCAATTCCAAAGACAACCTTAATTCTCGCTAAAACAGTGAAACTGAACCTTACGAGCAATATTACGACGCGGTCAAAACTTCTACCCCATAAGGATCTATCTTTTAGATCCTTCACTTCTTGTTTCTGCCAAAAAATCTTCTGCTGAAGTTCGTAAAGTTTCTGCTGATCCTTCCCAACGAAAGAAACGTCGTTATCGTCACCGTTATTGCTATGATTCAACGCTTTCCTGAACCCGTTTTCCAAAACCGAAAGTTCCTCCATCGCGCGGTATAAAGTTGCCGTGACCGTCACGTAACGCTCCACTTTTTTCAGCTTCGCTTCGGTTTCTTTTGGGCCCGAGAGGGCCCACCCATTTGGGTCACGGCCCAAGTCGGCGAACTCGAGAAAGGCCCGCTGGAAGGAGCGCAAGTTGGCGTCCTCGCAGCGCGCGCTGAGTCGGGTGACCGAGTTGGCGACGAGCCGGAGTGACTCGGCGAACTCGGCGCAGGCGAGTCCGAGGAGGAAGGACTCGTCGTTGGAGATGATCTTCCTCACGCCCTCGAGATTAACGGCGTCGTTTCGGATGCGAACGATGGTGGCGTCGGAGAGGGACTGCCACAGGTGGAGGAGCTTGGACATGACGCCGGCGATCTCGAAGGCCAAAACGCCGACGTTTTGTTTGGACTTGAATGAGGGTTTCTTCTTGAGAAGCTTCGGAGGGACGGAATCGAAGCTGCTTGATATGGCGGTTTTGACCTTGACGAGGAGCGTTTCGAGGGCCATGGTTGAGCTTGAAGTTTGCTTCTGGTTGGGTTTAATTAGATTTGAGCTACAGCAAAGTAAAGGGTAGCATGTGTTTGTGAAAATGTATATGAGAAAGAGAGAGAAAGAAATAATTGAAGAGTGGAGAGATTTTGGTGTAGAGCGATAAGGTTAAAAGAGAAGGGGATTGAAAATGTTGGAAGAAGCTCGTGGGGTGTTTGATGAAGATCAGTGAGTGTTACCAGAATGTTTGTTTAGAATAAGAAACGAGAGAGAGAGAGAGAGGGAGAGAGAGAGAGAGATGAATGAGTTTAAACAATTTAAAACCACATGCAGTGGCAGGGTGTGATAGATTGTGGCATTAAAAGGTTGATGTTGGGTCTGTTTCTGGTTTAAGATTCAGTCGCTCTAGAAGCGCGTAGAAGGAGCTTAACTTTTATCATGATTATGAAGTTTGAGGCTCTTCAATGTGTTTTTTCTTTGTGTTAAGTTAGGTGTTGGGATTTTATGTCTTGGTTTTTACTTCCTTGGTTTTTTTTTAGCTTAGGGAGCTCTCTCTAGTTGTTGAATTATTGATTGATCTAGTTGTTGGTAAAGGAAACTTTTCTCGTATGTTTGGATGCAAAGAAACACTTTTGTTTAAATGTTTGTTATGTTCTTTTAGGATTGAGGGCCATGTCATTATTGGTTCCTCTCTCTCTCTCTCTCTCTCTCAATGTCTATAAAGCAATTGGTTTTGTTGTTATTGATTTGTTTGTTTTTGTTGTGAGATTAACTGCCCTAAAATTACGAATTTCGATTCTAAGTTCTCACATGAAGCAGACATTGCCTATTAAAATAAGCAATAAAATGAAACTCGAGAGTGCAGTGATAATTAGCTGTAAAAATGATCAAGTCTAGTATCTCTACATAAAAGTCGGTATTCATTGGTCCAAAGATCCTTCATCAATTCCATTGACTCATATTTCTTAAATCTTCATAATTAGAGGTCCCAGATTCATTTTGTTATGGCAATTTCAATTATTTAAGATTGTGAAATCATCATTGAGAATAAAACCAGGTAGAGATATAGTGGTCTCTTATGATAATTTTGTTGGCATTATACATGAATGACTATAAAAGAATGGAAAATTCTTTATGTAAATTAGTTCTAGCACCAAACATAATCATTCATGTGTGTATAATTATTCATCATTAAATGAGCATAGAATATTCCCATAGCTAACTAGCAGGCATGTGCCTCTATGAATTCTACTTTGACTCGTTAATTACCATGAATGCTACAAAAAATGTGAGCAATACCAATTAATTAATTTTCGTTCTCTTTTACTTCTTTTAGCACATGAACTTATTTCCCGTAATGTTTTCTTTGGAGCTGTCATACGACCAAAAGGAAGAAGAAAAATCTTACAAATATATTTGAAAGGAAGCTATGTTTTTTTTTTTCAATTCTTTAATTAGTCACATTTACCCCTGATATGAATGTTGATTGTCCTATGTATCCAACAAATACTTGGTGTGGAAAGAACTTTAACATCTACAAAATTTTACAGTCCGAATGATATTTGTTTGGAACACTATATTATGTATATATGTATCAAACAATTATGTGCATTCCAAACAAGTAATGTCAATTGCTAGAAACAGAAAACAGTAGTCTCAGTGCTTTATATGAAACGGATCACGTTTGACTTGGAATAGTTATTAGTATAGAAACATGTAGATAGTGGCGTATGCCTAAGTGAACGATGCATTCAAAATATCCCAACGGGGAGATAGATAACTCATTCACGTCACATTAGTGGGAAGAGCATGTCGGCGAGATTTGGTATATACTGGAGGCCATCAAATGGTCCTAACCTTGCCCTTTATTTGTATCAGAACAAATAAAAAGAAATGATTTTTTTTTTTCCATTTTATGTCAAGCAACGTAATTTTTATGCAGACAATCGTTGTTTACGTGGCTGGCAAAAAAAAATGAGGGACGAGTTAAAGGAACTGTGTCGATATTTTTGTTCTAAAGCTTTTTGTATATGGGGTACTTACTTTATTGTGCATTTTGGGGAGTCTTTGAAGGGAGAATTGGTGGTGACAATATTTCTAGGATTAGAATGAAGCGGGAGAAGAAGGAATTATAGGAGCTACATGCTAAAATTAAATGGAGTCCAAAAGGTTTTTTTATTTTTCTAGCCTTTGCCTTGCCTAACCTTTAGCCAACCAATGGAAGGGCAATGAAGGATTTCTTTGTTGCATTGTCGGAAAATGAATAAGAAGCCATGAGCCCATCATGCATTGATATTGGTGCCTTTAAAGAAAGCAAACTCATGCACTCCTTCACCCTTGCCCTCAGTTATTTTAACTTTGTAATAATTTATCTCTTCTGGTCTTAGAACGACAGGTTGCTAGTTCTATTATTATATCCATTCATTCACCCTTTTGCACATGGGGGAGAAAATTTAGACCATAAAAGGTGAAAATAAAAGAGACCTTACAGAATTGGGATACCCAACAAGCAGTTTTCCTTTGGAGACAATTGATATGTGCTTATCTAATTAGATTTATTTTCTCACCATGATATTTTGAAAATTTCCCTCAATTCAGTTCGTCCATCTTGAAACCGAGGTGGAGAGAGGTAATCAATAGTCGATTTAATTAGTCTTATGCGTTTACTTTTTTGAAAGTATATAAAGTCGCGAGTTTAACATTTTTGTATAAAAAAAATATTGAAAGAGTTAGTTTTATTATATCATAAATATTCTTAACTCAAGATTGTCTTCTGTAAAAATTGTGTGTAGTATAAAATCAATAGCAATAATAAATTGCATAAAATTATTGTATATTTTGAAGGCATTTTGAGGGTACGGAAGCACTGGGATATGGACTGAAGGAACACAAAAAATGGCTTTGTTCAATCCTCGAGAAATATATAGCTCTTAATGGAGAATTTTGGGGAACCTCCCATTGTTCTTGCATCCATTGATGGGAAGCGGGAATGTGACACGTGTCATTTGAAAATGAAGTCAATTCTGTTTAGTAATCCTAAATTGATTCATTGTGATCACTGGATAAATCTTACTCTATTAGCAACGATAATGTGTGAAAACGGATGATTGAAGTTTGAGATAGTGTTCGAAAAACAAAGAACATGGATTTTACTTTGTCTTTTTGTATGTATGCAACGAACCAGCATCTTACTTGCACAATCTAGGAGGATATTAGATTCTCTACCGATTATGCGAAGTACCCAAGTACATCTTACCATAATAATTTAAGACAAACATTGTGAAACATACATAATTAATGGCCCATTAACAATATAATGAGCATCAAATCCCACAAAAAGTAAAAAGGAAGTAAAAGAAATCTTAATTAATTAATGGGAAATTAACGAAAGAGCATTAGAGACCCACCTTTCCTATACTTTTCCTCAAACGTACTACTATATCTGTAGTAATGTGTACAATTGAAGAAGTTTCCTAATTAGCTGCGCGAATCTTCCCGAATTGAGGACGAAACTGCAAAGGGTCTCACGATCATATATGATCACTCGTATATTCAGTTAAATAAAAATGAAAACAATTCTAACCATTTTTTAAATGAGTACATATACATGCGAGTCATTCATGCCAGGTTTTATTAGATAACATTATTTACAAATTAATGTAATTTGATCAGCATTATATGAAATCAATGGAGAATAATGCAAGTATAGATGTTCTTTGAAGATTAATTCAAGGGTCCAATTATATAGAAATAAATGTCACACCGTCCACTTTGATATTGAGATCATCTTAGGAGATAATGAATATTTCTGTTTTTCATTATGCTTATCTTTTATCTTTAGCAATTAAGCACATAACAGTCTCCGAAACCAACATTTCAATGTACCAACAAAGTTTGAAAAAAAGGGGACGTGGAATGTGTGTTGGGGGTACAAATTCATAATCACCCAAAAGTGTGTGTATTCGTTGCACCATGCGATCATCCTAATCCGACTCCATGCGTGGGGCTATATAGCAAGCATGCATGCTGGCTTGCTTGCTTGCACGCTAGCATGCCACGAATAACCTCAAACCAAAAATTATGGGGCAAAGTGCCTTTTTTGAGAGGTAGTCAAAAACAGCTACTATGAGTTCATTACATAATGGTGAAGAAACTGAAGTTTTCTATCATACTTGTAAGTGGGTGATGATGCATGATGTCATTGTCACTTTAGCTCCTAATGAAGAACATATAACCTCTCTTTATTCTCTAATTTTCCAGAAGTTAAAAAGAGAAATGGATGATATAGAAGTGGGACAGGGAAAGTGTTTGAGAATATAAACACAATCAAAGCTCATATCAGTGTGAAAGCTGAGGAAACATAACAACGATTAATTTGGGGCATGAGGTGGGCTTTCCATGGATGGAATAAAGTCCTTGCTAGCCACGACATGTTTTTAAGCATTTCTTCCATACTTTCGGCTCTAGGAAATCTCATTGATGAGTGTATCTGCCACGCGCTCAGATAAAAATTAGTTTATCAATAAACCACTATCATTATATGGTTTAGTTGGAGGTTTTGGTATATAATTAATTGATTTCAAATGTGAGGTGGTATTATTTCATAATATCCTAATTTTATAGGCCAATAATCTTTCATAGTTGGCATTTTTCATACAATAATTTTTTAGAAGCCCCACATAATGGTTAGTAAATATTCCATGCGATTATATTATATGCTAATTGCATATGATCTCTTGATAATTATAATATTAGTTGGTTTGCATCAATTTTGATTATGAACCAATATATTGAAGGCAAAAACTTAACTTGTGTATTGAGGTTAACATACGTCAACCATATTATATATATTATTTATAGCCATAATTATTAGAGCACTCTCCTGCACATATACGTTATAAGTTTACGTGATTTTCTCCTTTTTTTAATTTTATTTATTTATGAATATTAGTAAGGATTGACTAATAAGGAGAAAGTACCCCGTGATAATGTTCATCACAATTGATAAATAGCTCGATCTTTTAAATATGTAAATTAGGTAGAATATTGGCTTTAATCACAAGCAATACCAATTAGGGCCTATCTTTAGGGTGCCAATTTTGTATTATATATATTAAAAGAAAATATTTAAAAATAATTATACTTTGATGATCATTCAACTTCGAAAGAGATATTTGACCATCAACTGTCAAGTTGTAAGTTTAAAAAAGAAAACTTAATATATAAACGTAATCGTAAATATATGTTAATCAGCTCCACATTTGGAAT